AAAAAAAAAAAACTCTAATACTTTCAATTCTACTTTGTTTTTCACCTTGTTAGATATGTAAAAGGAAATGCTTTATTGATGTGATTATATATTTACTCTGGTCACACATGTCAAACACGGTAATATTTTATTTAAATGGCATACCCTTTGTCCTTTGTGTGCTAAATGTAAATTTGTGACAAACAATTTACAGCGTTAACTTTAGGGTCATGTGACCATCACTAAGGTATATTCTCAAGACTCACAGCTGAAGACACAGGCCTACTATAAGCTTACCAAGCACTGCACAACACTGATGCTGCAGAGTGCTAACAGAGCAGTTCCTAACAGTGCACTTCACTCTCAGACTGCAGGTTTACTGGTGGTTCCTAGAATATATAAAAATAGGATGGGAGGCAGATCTTTTAGCTATCAGGCTCCTCTCTTGTGATCCAACTCCCGGCTTTAGTCCATGACACAGACACCTTGTAAACTTTTAAGATTATGATTAAAACATTTTTTATTTGGTGGCCTATGGTTAAAATCTGATGTTAGCCCAGATCTGGACAAATGGTGGGAGTAGAAAGAGGTGGAGAATACAGTCGGTAAAAAACGGCTCTCCCTTGCCCTGCTTCCAACATGCCTCTATCTAAAAGGCTAGGTTATAAGAATAAGAATAAGAATACCTTTATTAGTCCCTCGTTGGGGAAATTGCAATATTGCAATGACTCAGGTACAGCAGGATAGCAGCAGTGGCACACAAGATATCGCACAAGAGTACATAGTAATAATAAGTTAAGATAATTATTGCACATGGTAATGAGAGTAGTAGTTATATTGCACACGTTTTGAAAAGATGATATTTGCAGTAGAAGGTTACAGATGTATGGCTTCTATTAGCAGTGACTATTATAGAGTATAACAGTAGCAGGGAGGAAAGATCTGTCGTATCTCTCCATCGTACAGTGAGGGTGTCACACCCTGTCCTGTCTCCCCATTCTGTTCAGTCCTGTGTCCATGTTAATTGCTCCCACCAGCCTCTCGTTTCCCAATCACCCAAGCTCCCAGCCCTCTTGTATTAAAATCCCCTTCAGTTCTGTGTCTCTTGTTGGATCATTGTTTCTATGTTAGCGCGTTCCTGATTAAAATCCCTGTTTTAATGTTCCTATCTGCCTGCCTGCCTCCTTCCTCACCCGCGTGTGGATCCTCACCTCCGTCTCACTCACCAGCACGCCTGACAGAATGTTCCAGCCCACTAAAGGATCCAGCGGGGAGATTCTCCCCTGGGAGTGCCTGCTCCAATTTCTGTCCTCGGACCACCGGCCGGCTTCTCCTCCTCCGGTGTCGCCTCGCCGCAGACGCCACCACCAAACTTCAGCCTCGGCGATCCTCTCCAACCTCCCGGAGCCAGATGAGAGGTTGGACCGGGAGACGCTGCCAGATCGCTCCTGCTATGTGGGCACCAGACTGGCTATGTGCTCCCCTGGGGTTGGCCCACGGTGTGGGGAAGGATGCCGGGCTCCACCGCAACCCCGTGTCCCAGGACGGAGCCGCAAGCTCGCCGCTGCCCCGGCTTGGCGCACCAGCTTGGACCCGCCCCCAGTCAGACCAGTAGTCCTGTCTCTGGTCCAATCAGCGCCTCCGTCATCTGCAGGCGGAGGAACCACGCCTACAGCCCAGCTGACAGAGCTCGCCCGTCTCCAGGTGGAGCTTGGCCGGATCCGTCAGCTCGTCAGCCTCCAGGAGTTCCAGCTGGACACCCTATCCTCTCCGAATCACCAGGAGAAGGTTTCAGTCCAGTCAGCAGCTCCCTCGTCTCAGGGTCAGAGGAGCGAGCCCGCGGTCCACCCAGCAGAGCTCACCGGTCTCCGAGCTGAGCTGGCCCAACTCCATCAGAGCTTCAGTCTCCAGGAGCTCCAGCGGGACGGTCTGTCCTCCCTGCTCTCCCAGTTTCCGGCGCCTCCAGTTCGGTCCGCTCCGGTCCCGGCGGTGACCCAAGAGGCTCTTCCCCCGGGCCGGCCAGCCCAGAAGTCGGCAGCTCCTCCTCCAGTGGCTCCGCCTCCACTCCAGAAGTCGACGGTTCCGGTCCAGAAGTCGGCGGTCCAGAAGCCGACGCCCCCGGACCATAAGCCGACGGTCCAGAAGCTGACACTCCAGGACCAGAAGTTGACGCCCCCGGACCAGAAGCCGACGCCCCCAGACCAGAAGTCGACGGTCCAGAAGTCGACGGACCAGAAATCGACGCCCCTGGACCAGAAGTTGATGGAGGTCGACGCCCCCCAGTCCTGAAGTCGGTGCCCCTTCCAGTCCTGTGGTCGACGCCCTTTCCAGTCCTGGGGTCGACGCTCTCTCCAGTCCAGAGGTCAACGCTCTTTCCAGTCCAGAGGTCAACGCTCTCTCCAGTCCAGAGGTCGACGCTCTTTCCAGTCCAGAGGTCGACGCTCTTTCCAGCCCAGAGATCGACGTTCCTTCATATCCAGAGGTCGACGCTCCTTCGTGTCCAGAGGTAGACGCTCCTCGTGCCCAGAGGTCGACGCTCCTTCGTGTCCAGAGGTCGACGCTCCTTCGTGTCCAGAGGTCGACGCTCCTTCGTGTCCAGAGGTCGACGCTCCCTCGTGTCCAGAGGTCAATGCTCCCTCGTGTCCAGAGGTCGATGCTCCCTCCAGTCCAGAGGTCGACGTCCCCTCCAGTCCAGAGGTCGACGTTCCCTCCAGTCCAGAGGTCGACGTCCCCTCCAGTTTCTTCCTTTCTCTTTCACCTCTGTCTTCGTGTCTGGTCGGAATTAAAAAGCATTAAAAAACAATAACAATAAAGTTTGAAGTATCAGGCATGACATTAAAAGCAGACGCTTTGATGCTCCACCTGAGCGTAAATCTGTAAGGCTTGTCACCAGCATTCAGACATCAATTCTGTTTGCTTCACAGCCAGACAGGACACGAAAAAAAAAGGAAGTGAGCCATCTATGTAGAGCACCAGAGAGGCCGATCTGTTTTAAGTGGGTTAAAAGAATAGTGTGGTCCACTTTATCAAAGGCAGTGCTTAGATCCAGTTGAACCAACACTGTCACCCTCTGGGCATCATAATTTATTCAAAAATCATTTAAAATGTTCAGAAGGGCCGTCTCTGTGCTGTGGTTCACCCTAATACCAGACTGAAAATTCTCTAGAACATAATTAGTATTAATAAAATCATTAAAGAGCAAGTAACGTCTAAATTAACTTTTTTTTGCTGATGAACTGTATAAATGAGTGTCTAATAGTGTTTTAATTCAATTCAATTCAAAAGTACTTTATTAATCCCAGAGGGAAATTGATTGCTGTAGTAGCTCAGAATAATAATAATAATCGTCATCAAAGAGTTGTTGTATATTACAATGGCTGTCGGCAGGAAGGATCTCCAGTAGCGATCAGTGTTGCAGTGAAACTGAAGAAGCCTCTGTCTGAAGACACTCTTCCGTTGTCGGACAGTCTTGTGAAGAGAATGCTCAGGGTTGTCCATAATTTTCTTGATGCTCTGGAGAATCCTTCTTTGCATTATCTCTTCCAGCGGTTCCGAAACTGCCGAAACTCTGGCTGAGTCCTTGAAAGGGCTTGTAGTTCCTCCATCTTGTTGGCCAGTGATCTCACATTGCCCATTATGATCGATGGAAGAGATGGTTTGAATTTCCTCTTTGTCTCTGTTTTGCTCCCGCTCTGCACCCACGCTTTGTGCGTTTTTAGCTCATTTGGGATTTGTTGCTTCAGTTGACATATTATTTCAGCCTTTCCAATGTTAATCAGCTGCTCCTGATTGTAAACCAGCTTGTTGCCATGGTTACGCATCATAACAAATGCTCAAAAAGTGAAAAAAAGCTTAAAAATAGCGGTAAAAATCCTCCAAGCTTCACAGCACCAGAAACAGAAAATTAAAGTGTCCAAAAAAATACAGTTTTTCTTGAGAAACCAGAAGAAAAAATGTCCAAGAAAGGCAAAACTTACATATAGTCAACAGAGCTACTCCAACATGCAGCCGCCCAGAGCAGCGCAGTTCTGGAAAGAATGTGTGTATTCATTATTTTAGCATTTTGGTGCATTTTCTTTAACAATTAAAAATTCTGCCTAAATACCATAGCACCACCTTCAGCTTAAAACATAGAATTTGAGTCATTTTGAATAAATTTTCGCCAATGGCTAAAGAGTAAGATACTACGTAAACCAGTAGAGTGCTACGTAGCAGCTCTGTGTCAAAGTTATAAAAGCAACGAGAGTCTCGGGCACGCCTTGTGGCGAGTTGGTAGTTGGATTTGCAAGCGAGTGTAGGAGGTTAGCAGTAGTTCAGCATTAGCATATCCTAGTCTTTAGCATAGCTTTTAGTGTTACACATACTTATTTAGTGTTAGTTTGGCTGTTGGATGTTGTAGTTCAGTTAGTGTTTGGCTGTTAGTGTTATTAGGAAAGTAGTTCGGGTTTAGTGCTCCATATCGTGTTAGTATGGTGAGAAGGTGTAGTGTACTGTGGTTGCGGTGACTCTGTGGGGTTGCACTCCTTTCCGCTGGACTTAGAAATTAGGCCCCAGTGGTTGCGCGCAATCGGTGTCTGGAAAAAATTCCGCTCCCGCCTGGTGCTGTAGTTTGCAACCAGCATTTTACCCGCGATTCTGCACATCTCCGTTTGAAGAGGGAGGCTGTGCCCACCGTGGCTCTTCCGCGATTTAGATGCAGCCCACCGACTCTGCTCCCCCACCATGGCGGGCTCCAGTCTGAGGTGAGTAAGCTAAATACAAGTTTTAACATCTTCTAAAGACAATTCCCTACCTAAATGCAAAGTTTGAGAGACGTGGTTCACTCCATTTAGCTAATATCAGCCTGCGCTGCCTTCGAGCAGATTTGTCAAGTTCACAAAATGTGGAACGGAATGGTTAGAATCTGCGGCGAATCGGAACATGTCTCGAAGCCCTGGCCGACAAAACGGTCCACATGACTTCTACTGCTCGGAGAAAATTCGGGTTGTTTTTGTGTCAGTCGGTATTTCTGCAACAGTGACTAACTAATGCATAACTAGTTGACAGACATCATTACAGCGTGAAATCCAGCTTGTGACCCGGTTCCGTGAGGAATTCTGTTCAGGAGGTTGCATTTCAGGCTCTCCACATCATATGTGTCTGACTTTTACGTTATAATAACGATCAAACACTATGAATGTTATAAAGCGCCTATATAGGACAGTTTCTTTTGTATATTATCTGACTTTATAAACAACAACAATGTGCTTCTATTTTTTTTTCAGACTAAATCTACCCAAGACACTGGCTGTCAGACTGATTTAGCTGCAAGAATGCACTTGCCCAGCCTGGCGTGAAGCCTTACCCATAGCAAAGGTGAATTATTTTTAATAATCTTCTATGTAAACATTTTATTATTACCTTCTAGTTTTAATTTGTTTTACAGATTATTGTTACACATGATTTTATGCTCTTTTAAACATTTATAAATGTGCTACTTCTTTGTTTTTTACATAGCCAGCCAGAATAGAGCTCACAGCCGCAGTGTGTCTTGTGACACAGGGACCATGACGGAAATTCATCTTCCAGAAGGTCCCAGAGCAGCATCCACACCCCTGAAAAGACCAAGATGTGAGGTGTCTGCTGTTGATTCCAGCGTCCACCTCAGTGACAGTGCAAGCTCAGTGAACTGTTCAAGGTAAAAAAAATTAAAACATTTCAGAATTTTTAAGATATTAACAATTAAATAAGTATGTGATTACATCATGAAGGAGGCTACTGATTCTGGCCCTGTGACACTTGGTGGTGACGTGTGAGCTGATTCACCTGGTAAATAACTTTTACATTAAATATTTTGTTTTTGCTATCAAAAGTAATTTAACTAATAACTTGCATTATTGCAGGACACTCAGCAAAATATGGACTCTACACCATGAGGCAGGCACACGTTAATACTCTATAAGAGCACATAAGGTGAGCAACACCACATATTATTGTTATTACTGTACACTGTCCTGGATTTGTTTTCTTTCTGCATCTCATCATTAGCCTGGCTGATCACCCGATAACTCATGTCATCTGGTTGTGACAGCATGAGGATGTCCTCACACACCTGTAACCTATCAGCTCTTCTGGCAGAATAGAGAGAGAAGAGACAACACCACATCTCCTGTTCCTGGAAAGCCTTCAGCCATCCTTCGATGACTGAGAACCTCCATCAGCTGTCTCTCTTGTCTGCCCACAATTATTATAATAAATATTGCATTTGACAAGTTTTTTCTGCTGCCAAATATCTCATTTTGATTCCAGTTTTGATATTTTAATGGATATTTATAAATTACATTAATTGAATTATGACATTGTTGCATGTTTAACTAGCTCTATTGTGATGAATTAAACTAGCACCTCACTGTTAAAAGCTCATTTTAATTTCAAGCATGTTTAAGTATTTATGGACATGAACAAAAACAGGAAATATATAAATTGAGATTTATTTAATTAATATAACAAATAAGGGGGAAAGAGTCATTGAAAGGCACATTCTTCTGGAAGCTCCTGATCCTGACGACACCAGCAGAGGAGACCAGCTGCAGACACCAGAGGATCACCTACGACCAAGAGAGCAGCTGGTATCAGTAAATAAATAATGAAATCAGGGCAGCTTTAGTGGGCTGAACACATTACAGAATAATTTTCTCATGGGGTAGTTTCATAACTTTCTATGCAGCAGACTAACTTAAGCCCAGGGCTCCTGGAGAGCTGCTATCCAGCACATTTCAGTGGTTTTCCTGCTTTAAAAGGTTAGATTAGCTGTTAAGCAGCTCAGCCATTTGTTGCTGATTAAAACCAGGTGTGTTGAAGCAGATAAACCTCTAAAACATGCTGAATACTAGCTCTCTAGGACCGTGGAGACAAACCCTGCAGCTAATCCAATGCTATGGCTAACGGCTACATACCATTCAGAGCTGTTTCTGTTGGGTCGGTTCCGGTAGTTTCAGGCAACTCACAAGCTCAAAACAATAAGGCTCAGGTCCGCTTGTCTCCTCCAAATAGACTTGGTCCCTTTCTTCTTGAGTGTCTGGGTAAGGAGGGGAAGAAACGTCCTCCACTTCTAATAACTGCTCAGAGTGAAGGAAGCTAGCATAGTCACAACATGCCCTATAGGTTAAAAAAAATAATTGTACGTCGCTTTGGGAAAAAGCGTCTGCTAAGCACATAAACATAAACATAGTCTAGTTAGCCATCGTCTTCGTCACTGCCGCGGCTCCGCCCTCTCGGTCCTCCAGGCAACGCCTACTAACGTTGCAGTTTTTAAAATTGATACGTGGGTGGAGTAAGACTCTGAGGGGGGCATTACCACTTCTTTAATTTGATTGAACACAAGCTTTTCTAAAATTTTGCTTAAAATGGCAAGTTGGACACCGGTCAGAAGTTGTTTAAATCATTAAAATCTAAATTGTTCTTCTTCAACAGGGGTCTCACCACCGCCCGTTTAAAAGCAGCAGGAAAGACCCCTGTCTGAAGCGAGCAATTCATCAGAGTTAAAATATCATCTTTAAAAGAATCAAAAAAATTGTTTAAAAACCCTTGTGGGAATAGGGTCCAGAACACATGTGGTGGGCCTCATTGAGGAAGTAGCCTTGCAATCCTTATTTGTGTCTTACCCCTTCTTTCCACCGGAGCCGTTAGCAGCACGTAACTGCAGCAGCACATCTTGCTCGCGTAAGCTGATGCATGGCCCTTCCCATGAGACGCGTAGCAGCAGGGGAGCAGCTGTCACTGACAGAGCACAAAGTCACACGAGTGACTTCGTCAGTAAACACAACAAGCAGGAGAAAATTGCAACATGGCTCCAAAAGGTTGGTGTTTTATGTTCTGTCCATGTTATAATCGCCAATACGGACCTGAAAAACAAAGGAGACCGCTAGGTGACAACTTCTCACGGGGCCACACAGTTAGTAACGTTTTTAAAGTAAAGCAACCGGAAGGCAGTACGTTTCTTTATTCTGAAAATCTCAGGAGCTTTGCTCCGTTTCCGCATGCGATTTCCTGTCTTTCCTCCCCCAAAAAATTGTCGAACTTGACCCGTTTCAGAGGCGTGGCGCGTAGAAAATAGAACTGGCGCTTTAAGGGCTGCGACATGCTGCTCCTGGGACGCGACCGACTCGCGCTGCTGACGGCTCCGGTGGAAAAGGTTCTGTTGACCACAGCGGTTCCTATCAGCAGCGATGACGTGCTGCTGCAGACAGTAACTTGCTGCTGACGGCTCCGGTGGAAAGAAGGGATTAAGACTTGAAAATGTGTGTAGAGTTTTACAAATCACTGTGTGTAATGTTATGCAAATCTATGGAGGTGTTTTGTAGCCTGGCAAGCCAGAAAAAATAAATATATTGTTTAATCTTGCAGCAGTCCATTGACGACTCTCGGTCGTAGGGCGGGTTCTACCGTTGTCTTTCAAAAAATCTCTGCATGCTACTGGACAGCGAATAACGTGACTTACTGCAACGGGTGTCGGTAAATCAAGACAAGTCCACTGTTGAAGAAGGCAAAAGTACATCCTTTTCTAAACAAATAATAAATTTTAAATAAAGGACTTAAATACATCTATCTGCTCCTGATTCATCTAGTTCACTGGGCTACGTGTTTTGCTCACTGGAGTATAATTTAACAAATTGTATGGAAATGTTTATTTTAGTAAATAAACATTCATAAAAACGGTAAGTCAAGTCTTGTAAAGTCATCTATAGTCAAGTCCAGTCAAGAAAAAGTAAAGAAAAGTAAAGTTTTGTTTAGGTTTGTTACGTCCACTGACCTGTAGGGGCTCTCTAGAGAGCTTCCTGTTTTGTGTCTGTTTGCAGATCTGCTGCCACACCCTGGTGCACAGCTGGGATCACTTGATCGTCATCAGTGGACCTGCATAAAAGCTCCAGCCAGCCAGTGCTGTAGCCCCTTACCCCTGGGCACAGATTGTGATTGTGAAAGTGAAGGCATTAAAACCTGTGTGGCATAAGCTACTGTGTTATTTAGTGGATACTGGTTTGAATTGGTGTGTGATTTAGCTTATTATTTTGTTAGTTGAGGTTTGGTAGGGGTTCTCTGCCGTTTTATTTGATACATTTTTCTCTCGTTTTGTGGACAGCCACTGCAGCTTATGCATTGATTTTTCTTTTATCATTTGAGAAGTATTGCATTTTGTTTTAGCTGGGGGGGTTGTTTTGGCCTTTAGACCCTGAAGTAAAAATACTTTCCTCTTTTTGTTATAGTGTTTAAAAGCCCCTGGTTTTTGTGTATTAAATTCCATCTTTTATACAAAGCCAGTTTGTGGTTCTTCTAGACGTTAAGTTATTTTACTTTTTTGTGTAACACCCTGATCTCCTAGACCATTCACTTCAGAAGGGTCGTAACAAGGTTAATCTCACAATACACACTTTTATAAATAATCCTCACAAATATATGTTCAATACAACATCAAATTTTTATGTACTGCAGTACTGTTTGAAATTGATAATTTATAAGTAAATCAGTGATAAAAGGGTAAGATTTTAACCAGATCTGGAGATATTGGTATCTGCTTCAGAGTGACAAAGGCCAAATGAGTTGTCAGTAACATTTAAAGAAGGTGGAAGGGGTCATTGTGTGATGTTAGTGTGTGTGTGCATGTGTGTGTTCAGTTGAGAGCTTGATCAGGTGGTGCCATGGTGGCTCACTCCACCTTTTATCTATTTGTTATATGAAGAAATAGGCAGGCTGATGAAGCTGTCACATCATCAGACTCTCAAAAGTTACATTGGAGCGAATGGGACAAACTAGGACTGCATGTGTAGGATACAAGTTTGTCCTGTCAGTTTAATTGTCATCCCTCGTGCTGATGAAAAGTTGCAATAACAACCTAATAATCACAGCTAGTGAGACACATGCAGGACCTGCTGAGTCATCAGCAAAATATGAAAATGTTTTTGCAATATAATATCAGAGCCTGAAATATCCAATTTAATATCAGTTTACTTAGCGAAGCAGATAAAACTCAAGGATTAAATAAAAATGTTGAAACCTGCAGTAATGTGTAGAGAAAAAAATCCTGACAAACAGGGACTCAGACTGCACAACACTGACTTGTTTTGATTCTTCTGACAATTTTGAATGGTTGAAGTACAACAACAGGCGACAACTTACTGTTTTGTGGTAGTTTCAGAGCTGCAGAGACAGACATGAATTAATTTGCATTTTCAACCATGTTACTGCTGTAAATAGGACAGAAGTTTAAAGTTACATATGAGACATTTTTGTGCATGAGTGGATTGTATTTCCATCAAAACCGAAATCACTGTTTAAGTTTTTATGGGTTCAGTTATTAGGAATACTATAGTGACAGAACTTTTATTATTGGTTTTATTTTACATGATTATGGGATCAGCATATTTTAATCGAACACAATCAATTTTGACTTTTAAAATGTTTTTCTCACCTTATCTTCACAATGTAGAAAGCAAATAAATAAATAAATAAATAAATAAATAAAAAGCTGTCTGAGCAAAACATCATACCCACCAGTCCTGTTACATTTGTTGCTGTTAGCTATTTCTGTGGTTTTTATTAAAACTTGCCTTGTCTTTATAATCAGATAAAATAACATTCATTTTGGATATGAAACATAAAAACATTTGTAATCACTGATTTCTGTTTTTTTCTATGAACAATGGATCCTTTTAACCTTTGTTTTTAAAGCATACAGACATTAGTAACCTGCAGGCTTATAAAACTCTGTTTCAAGTTCAAATTTTTGGACATTTAACAATTTTACAGATTAACACAGCAGAAGGGACATCTATTTTCACAATTAAATAGAATGAGTGGCTTTTGTTCCCAATCCAAAGAGAACAGAATGATTCCTTTAGTTAAAAATAATACATTGATCCAAAATTGCAGTTACAATCGTGAGTGCAAAAGCAAGGACACTGAAATGAGCAATCTGAGTGTGGAATGGAACAAAACATTTAGAAATGGTCGGTTTTGACTTGAACACAACAGCAATACGTTTCCATACATCCTAAAATATGTTCATCTCAACTGTCTGAGCAAATGGAAATTCACTGACCAGTACTTGATGTTTTTCTCAAGTAACAGTACAGATGAAGGGGTGGAAAATTACTTGAGTAAAAGTGGAAGTCTCCGAGAACTGTTTTACTTAAAAATATTAAAGTGTGCATTTTGAAAAGTAAAACAGTTGAAGTATTTTACTAACATTTAAATATGCAGTGTGTGTGTGTGTGTGTGTTCTTGTACATATTACATACTGAGGACCATTTTCCCTACAATGTGAGGACATTTTTCAAAGTGAGGAAATTTTTTTGGTCCTCACTTTCTTTTAGAAGCTTACCAGAAGCTTACTATACCAGTTAGAGGTATAGTGCAAATTAGGTTTTAGCTAAGGTCAGGGTCAGGAATAGATCAGCATTGGTTATGGTTAGGGTCGGGGTATGGGTTAGGCATGGTGGAATCACAAAAATGGATGGAAGTCAATATAGGGTCCTCACTATGATAGTGTGTGTGTGTGTGTGTGTGTGTGTGTGTGTGTGTGTGTGTGTGTGTGTGTGTGTGCATGCACTGTCGGATCTGGGGGAAAATGCTAAATAAATTACCGTTGAAACTGCTGTACGATGTGGTTAAGAGAGTTTGCTGCTACTTTCCATCAGACCGGGGGTATGGGGTGGAGGTTGGCATAACAGAAATTAAAGTACTTTAGAAAAATGAAGTGGAGTAGAAAGTACAGATAACTGCTTTAAAATGTAGTAAAGTAAAAGTATAAAGTAGGCCTCAAGATTACTTAACTACAGATAGAGAAAACATGTACTTAAGTACAGTAATTAAGTACTTTGTACTTCACTACTTCACTGCATTTCTCTGTGTTAAAATACGTTTCACACACTGAATATTGTTTATTTGTTGCTCTAGCTGTGCACCTTGTTAGGCTGAAACTAGTTTTCTCATCTTTATGTTCAGCATGAAGAAGAACGAGTTCAACAGTAAACAGAAGAGAACTGGTCAGTGCAGTGACTAGAGCGTGAACCCGACGGCGTTAGGACCCGGAGTCCACCACTGCCAGGAAGCTGGAGGCTGGGCCGGTCGGCGGCAAAGGAGGGAGGGCAGTGGGGGACCGCCAGCGGCGCGAGCTCCAGACACTGGCAGCGGCGGGCGCGAGCGATGCGAGTGAACGGCTGATAAAAGAGCAGACAAAACAGAAACACACCCTCGCCCGGTTCTCATCTTGTTCCAGCGGCGTGAAGGGAGAACTCTCAGCTCGCCCAACATGTCGGTGTCGGTGTCTCTGCAGGAATACGAGTTCGAGAGGCAGTTCAACGAGGAAGAAGCCATCCGATGGATGCAGGAGAACTGGTGAGGCTAGTTGTGCTTTTCAACGTTAGCGCCTCGTTTTTTAAATTCCACTCGAGTAAATCGCGTCGTCGTCCTGCTAAATTAGAAGTGGAGGCTTCGACAGGGCATCAGCTTTGCTCAACGGGATTAAAGCGGGCAGTATCCTGTTATATAGCAGGCTCACCATCATCATCTGCAAATTACTGAACACCATGCTGATTCCTAAAACAGAAACTAATCTCCTCTCGGGCCCTTTAGCAGGACTCTGCCACACTTTGGTAAATCTGCAGCTGCATCCTTCTCGGTTAGGATTTGTCCTTGACGTCCTGTGATTCATTCTGTGGGCACCAGCCTGGTTTTCTAAAGGTCATCCATCCTCCATCTGCCTCGTCCACCCCAGTCACTGGGCCAGTGGTTTATTAAGCCCGGTCTGCCATATGCAGGCACACTGCCACACACAATTCTTGCTTTTGTCCTTTCTAAAACAGGCTTGGGATGGGAAAATATCTTTAAATACATTCAGGATTACAGAATATTTAATTTTCAATAGTAAATTTACCTATACATGTTTAAATATACATAATATACATAGTATAAGTATTCAAAATCTAGTTAGATGAATTTTAGGAGTTGTTTATTGAATAATGATCATATAATTAAGAGTGCATGAATAGATTGGAGATTTAACTCAATCAATATTCGGTGGAACTGCAAAGGGTTAAAAATAAATACATACTTTATAAAATAAGTATCTGCATAAATAAAAGCTACAGAATTGTGCAATCTGACAATGAAATTGTGAAACTGAATGTTATGTAAAAGTCTAAGCTAAATGTTATGACAGTTTTTCATTCTTCTATTAAAATGTGCTTATTAATATAAAACACGATTTCAGAGGTGATTTTTTCCCCAATAATGCAAATGATTATTCAGCCATTTTTATGTAATTCATTCAGTTTTTATAATATTCCTTTTCACAAAGTCTATAATGTTTTTTTTCCCTGATAGCTAATTTATTATATAATGACACTTTTCAGTAGAATGTCTTAGGCCCTGTCCACACGTAGCCGCAGATCTGCCAAAACGTAGATATTTTTCTACGTTTTGGCCTGTCATCCACACGAAAACGGAGTTTTTTCACACGAAAACGAATCTTTTTAAAAACTCCGGCCAAAGTGAAGATCTGCGTTTTCTCCGTTTTGGGTGTCTGCGTGTGGACAGACAAAACCGGAGTTTTAAGGTCCGCAACGTCACTTTCCGCGACAAAAAAATGCTGACATCACGTGTGCGACCTGTGTTTACACTAGCCGACAGCATGGATGCCCTCAGAGCTGCACTCGCTTTATCAATTGTCCAAGCGCTTTTTGCTTGTTTGTTTTTGCAAGTGGAATTACTGCTCCTTGCGGAAGACCACAGACGAAGGACGAGGTTAAGAACGGGGGAAGTACTGCTGCCTACAGGTCTGGCATGTCCTTAACAACGTATTTATCCGGGTACGTGTGGACAGAGTTTTTTTTTTAAACGAGGTGGTGTGGATACAAGTTTTTGGAGGGGCGGATATTTGTTTTTTTTTTTAAAAACCCGGCTACGTGTGGACTAGGCCTTAGTCTGTCCATCAAGACAAAAAGGGCAGAGCTAGTTTATGATTGGCTGCTCATTCAATCAGACATAAGCAATCAGTCACAAAGTATGGAATTGGGCCTGCATTAGACGAGCCGATATCCAGGGAAACTAAACGATGTTTAAAGATTAGCCAAGGTTTAGCAGGCCACGCCCACTGTTTTGATGGACAGATTAAGACATTCTGCTGAAAAGTATCATTGTGTAAAATAAATCAGCCTTCTGAAAAATGTTATGAAATAAGGAAAAGGACATTGTGTACAAAAGCTGACACAATTCAATGAAAGCGCCTCAAAAATAATTTGTATTATTGGGTAAAAACTGCTTCTGGAAGTTAGCACATTTTAAAAGAAAGATGAAAAATTGCATAATATTAAGCGTAGATTGTTTTACTTAACATCTGTATTTCAAAATTTAATTATCTAGTATCTATTGATGTACATGCATGTCTCATGTCGAGTTATTTATTTATTTATTTTAGAACACTTTTGAGTTCCATAATATTCACCATGATCATCAGTGATTGGCCAATTAGAAACTAAACATTCTGATTGAATTCAGGTGTATTTTTTGGAGTTGTCCCGTCACTATTTTACCAAAGTGGGCTGCCTGAATGTTTATTTTTTCTCCCCAAAACACAGCTAGAACACCGAACACTGCTAATATCAGCCATAAAAGTGCCACAAAAAGAAGAATGAAAAGCAATTAAACAATCAGATGTGCCATTCCGTCGGTTTGGCTCTAGCTGAGCTACAGCAGCAGAAATCTACTCCTCTCCCACCCTTGCTTGCTGCTACCACAGTAACACTTTTTAAACCAGAGTAAACCCCAGATGTGTACTCACCAAGTGAATACTTTTCAGATTGTTACATCTAATGCTTTTCCTCCCTGCCGTGGACATTTTCTCCTTTTAGACATAAATTGTTCAACTGTTACCGGCATAGACATCAATATATGGCTGCGGTTACCGGTAGCTTATTCAAATAGCGCCAACTCCGGACTCTGATTGGTTATTTTCTCATTTAGTCCCGCCAGTTCCATTAGCTGATTGGTATTTTTCCCGTACTCCCATATTTTTAATTTTTTGATAGGATGTTTGTTACTATCAATTCCCGGTGTCTTCTTTTATTCATCAAAGAAACTTTAGATCAATATTCATCATAATTTTATATTTATACACTTATATTTTTTAGTTTTTGTTTTAGTCCACAAAAATTCATTTTTCACTAAAAACAAAAGTATTTCGTCAACAAAATTAGACTTAACTCAAGTACCTCTTAAAGTGAGAATGTGTAGTTTTTACTGTTAAAGCTTCTTTCCGGAGTATTTCTCTTATCCAATGGCACCTTCTAGTGGCTGACAAGCATATTGCACAAAACCGCTGTTCCTCTGTTATTTTAAGATGGCGACTACTCGTTTCTGCTTATAAATGTGCTTCTGTAGCCGACAAACAGAGCTAAAACACGTTTTTATGAGTATTATTCTCATGTCATGTTGTGCTTTCATATATTTATATTTTAGAGACTTTCTTGTCCGTGAAAAGTTCATCAACTCTGCATCAGCCGAGGCATTCCTTAAATCTGAAGCAAATAAGCGGTTGTCTAACGATATTGGTTAGTTCTGGTCGGCACTCAGTTTCCTATTGCACGGAGCTCTGCCGGGCAGGGGACGTGCTTAGCAAAAAAAAAAAAAAAAAGACGTATTGCTTAAATTATATCACAGTACATGATAAGTTAATCACTTTTACAGATTTCTGACAAATCATACATAATTTCTGAAAGAGGAAAAGTCCGGAAAGCAGCTTTAATCTCTGTAAATATTAATGAAAATGTTGTTGAAAATTTATGAAATGATGCCTAGTTGTTGGAAAATATTGGCGGCTTCGTAACATATAACCATAAAAATTAGGTCTAAAATACACGGGAGCGGGTCTAGGTCTGGGCAACGCCATATTAGATACCATGTTTCCTTCTAGGGGAGCCCTTGAGGACAAAATGCATTTACTGACTTGTAACAAATGGTTAAAATTTTTACCATTCATAAACATTGTTTTACACATTTATCTCTTCACTCTTTGCCAGTGATGAAAAGGAATCTGATGTACTTGTCATTTTGCTGAAGTTTGTACTCCCTGGGGCTTTTTGACCCTAATGGGCATCTGTTGGTAAGGTCTTACTCCAACACAAGAATACAGCTTGTTTGCAATGGTTTTGGTACGTACTACCCCCCCCATCACCAGGAAAAATACACACTGTCACTTTAAGCCCAAGTCTAAATGGTCCAAAGTTGATGCTAAAGCCTTTTCAAGCAACACCATCTTTGTAGATTTTTTTCTGTCACAGCTCTGGTTCTAAGCCTGCCAAACATCTCTCTACAACCATCCAGCTCTGTGATTGGCCAGACCCAACATTGTTTGGGCCAATGTTAGACTTGGTAAGGGTACAACAGATGGTGACTAGACCAACCTGCAGGGCAAAATCTTTTGCTACTGCGTGAATAACATTGTTCCTGGTATTTGAGCTTGCAGTCACTAAGCACTCATTCAGACTACCAATAAAATATCCTCCAGATAAATATTGGGTATGTGTGTGTGTGGGGGTGGGCGGAGTTCTGTAAAATATAGTTATTGAAAATTAACTGGAATTTGCCTAAATCAGAAGCCATGCAAGAAATTCGTATTGGTCCCCAAAACCAGAATTTATGCATTTCTAAAAATACACCAAGGGAGAAAACTCATAGAAAGTGACATGATCCAACAGCGTAGTTTAACCTACATATTATCGGTGCAGATTACAGAATAGTTTTAATTGAAAAGTTAATAGCACTGTCAATAATATATCTTTTTTTTGTGACTGATTCATTCACTCTAAAATTGCTGGTTTTAGCAAAAAAAAAAAAAAAGGATCAGTTTAAACTTTAACTTATTACTAAATAATCTCATTAGACAAGCTTACATAGATAAACTGTGTTTGAATAATCGATTGCTCATGATTCCAGCTAAAAATACATTTGTGTTGTGTCACCGTTTTCTCAGGTTGGTGCTTGTGCAGTTTTGCACAACCTCCAACATTATTACACATTGATGTTTTACAGTCTCTTTTGCTGTTAAGTAAATATTGCCTTGTGGTTGTGTGCAGTGAGTCGTTTATTATGTAGGTCATGTTCGGGTCTATTCAATCGTTCTTTTGCATGGGCTCACTTGAGGGTACTAGCTGTCCAGGTCCATGTCAGGTTGATGAGAAAATGCCTCAAAGCACAACAAACTGAGTCATGCATTGAGCTAGCGTGAGCTTCATTAAGTATACAGCGGAATTCTAAAATAGCAGCACATGTGAGTTTTTAATCATGACTGTTTCATCATTAGTTTGAGTTGACTGTAGGAAACAGTCACATTTCAGTCA